TGCGTTCTTCCTGTGCATGCGCTGCTGCAGCTGTCGGAGACGGGCGGGCGCACGCTCAGATGAGAAGCAGAAGACACAGTGACTTGCACAGTTGCCCACTGCGCACGCAGGACGAGGCGCTTGTCCACAATAGGCTTGGGCGAACGCCGAGACGAAGTCTGACGCATTGGGCCGCCTAGACATAGACTTGTTGGGAGTGCCACGGCTCCCTTGTACAGACAGGCTGTGAAGCTTGAAAGATCTTGAAGTTGCCGGTTCCTGGTTGCGAAGATGCCGAAAGACCGAAGGCTGTCACGCAGCCGTGCGGTCCTGTGGACTTCGCAGTTAAAAGAACTCTTTGAATTGAGAGATCCGGTGTTTCGCCTCTCAGCCATGTACAGCAAAGGCCGAGGATGGTAGAATGCTGCACATTGTCGGATGCGTTCTTTTGAGTAGAAGTACATCACCTGGAACTCCGACTTTGTGCGAAAGGGTCGTATGTTTAAGTTTTGTCTTCAAGGACGGGCTCGTCTGCATAGGAAGCGACCCGAGTGCGATGTGCACATGCTGCGTCGAGGGACCAAAATGAAGAAGCGCATGATTGCGCATGCACCGACACCCCCGTGCTCGTTTAGACTGATACTGCAGACAGTCGCATTTTGCTTTTCTGTTCAGTTTGTCGTGCGAGTCAAACCTGACGACAAGCTATCAGCGCCAATTTCTCCTTTGACAACGCTAAGAACTCTCGGGCTCAAGCTGTCCGGCCACTTTGAACTCGTTTCTGTGCTGCTCGGCTGATTAGGTGCCATGGCGACCGAGAAGTTTGATTTCCTCATTGTCGGGGTTCCGCTATCTCCGCTTCACAACTGCATCTCCATCGGGCAGGAGCTCTGTCTCAGAGGACACAATGTCACAGTGCTGAGCTTCGCAGAACGGGGACGGCAGAAGGTGGCGAAGTACGCTCCGAAGTGCAAGCTGAACTACATCAGCCTTGGCGAGCTGCCTGTCAGCGATGACAAGGAAGACGAGCTGGTACGACACATGCTGACCTCAAACAGCACGCTCCTTCAGATATCTTTCATGGCCCAGAACCTGTTGACCCCTTACTTCGATCAGCTGCGAGAGGGCGTGTCGAGAGTGCTCAAAAGCGGACAAGTGCGACCATCCTTTGCCCTACTTGGCCTCCCCTTCGGCGGTGCGGGCCGCGAGTTGGAGGCCCTGGGCATTGAGTTTGCGGTGAACGTGCCGACCATCCTCGTCCCACCCGTCTGCCCATGGGCGTCCTCCTTCGTCCCTCCGCCGTTTTACTTGGCGAACCCGCACAACATGACCTTCCTGGACAGGCTCCTGGTCATCGGAGGCAACTCACTCTTGAACTTTGGGCGGCATCTGGCAGTGCTTGCAGGCTTTCAGTTTTCATTCATGCCAGACCTGAGCCCGGACCTCTGGAGGGGCCGCCTTGCCTTCGTGAACAGCATCCCGGGTTTTGACTACCCGCAGCTGCTGCCACCTCTGGTGCAGTATACGGGCCCGGTCGTGGATGTGAAGAAGATGGAAGCCTTCCCAGAAGAAGTGGAGTCATGGCTCGAGGCTGTGCCCGAGGGAATGCCAGTCGTTTATGTGAGCTACGGCACCATGGTGCGGCTGACTCCCGAGAGGGTGGCTGCTACGCTGCGCACCCTGACGTCCACAGAGCACTTCACTTTGTGGGCTTTGCCCAAAGCACAGCAGGTCGGCTTGCCAGAGACTCTGCCCTCCAGTGTCATGATCCACCACTGGATCCCAACGGCACGGACACTGGCGCACCCGAAGGTGAAGGCCTTCGTGTCCCACTGCGGTGGAAACTCGGCTGTGGAGAGCATGGCCATGGGCAAGCCGCTGATTGGCTACCCACAGTTTGGGGATCAAATGGGCGTCTGCCGCCGAATTGCGGACGCTGGCGCAGGGATCACTGGGCCGCAGGGTGGCTGGGTCCAGGCAGAGGACGTGCATCATGTCCTCTCCCAGCCTCGCTATGCCGCTCGGGCACGGACCATGTCTCGACTTCTGGAGAAGTTCGGAGGTACATCTCGGGCTGCTGATCTGCTTGAGCTGGCAGCTGCAGGTGACTTAGCCCTGCTGAAGACTCCTCTCGAAGGATCTTCGAGCTCCGGCTTCTTCATGTCAGGCTATGACCTCATCATCTATGCACAGCTGCTCGCATTCTTTGCGTTCTTCCTGTGCATGCGCTGCTGCAGCTGTCGGAGACGGGCGGGCGCACGCTCAGATGAGAAGCAGAAGACACAGTGACTTGCACAGTTGCCCACTGCGCACGCAGGACGAGGCGCTTGTCCACAATAGGCTTGGGCGAACGCCGAGACGAAGTCTGACGCATTGGGCCGCCTAGACATAGACTTGTTGGGAGTGCCACGGCTCCCTTGTACAGACAGGCTGTGAAGCTTGAAAGATCTTGAAGTTGCCGGTTCCTGGTTGCGAAGATGCCGAAAGACCGAAGGCTGTCACGCAGCCGTGCGGTCCTGTGGACTTCGCAGTTAAAAGAACTCTTTGAATTGAGAGATCCGGTGTTTCGCCCTCTCAGCCATGTACAGCAAAGGCCGAGGATGGTAGAATGCTGCACATTGTCGGATGCGTTCTTTTGAGTAGAAGTACATCACCTGGAACTCCGACTTTGTGCGAAAGGGTCGTATGTTTAAGTTTTGTCTTCAAGGACGGGCTCGTCTGCATAGGAAGCGACCCGAGTGCGATGTGCACATGCTGCGTCGAGGGACCAAAATGAAGAAGCGCATGATTGCCCATGCACCGACACCCTCAGGCTCGTGTCACGGCTCATTTACAGGCTGGGCCAACGAAATATGAGCAAGGAAACATTGCGACGGTGCTGGCACGAGTTTCCCTCTTTTTGCAGCCGATGCAGGGTAAGGGTTCGGCCAAACGACTTTCATACCATTCACGAGGTTTTGACATGTGCTAGGAACAGTGAGTTGCCTGTTGCTTTTGCTTCGTGCGATGTTCCGCAGTGTTGTAGTATTGCCAGCAACCGTGGACACGCTACTATGACCCTCGCCTCATTCGACAGCTGCGCAACACATCTTAATTGTCGTTTCAATCCATCCAAGAGGCCCAAGAGGGACTTTATTCTGCACTGCGATGTGTGCCGTACAGCTTACCCGCGAGCTCCATGCTGAATTCTGCTTTTCCGTTTTGGCGGGCTCGGCTTGCTACCTGAACTGGTCCATCACATGGTCCATCACACTAAACCTGGCCCAAGCCAAGCCAAGCTTGTTTGTGTGAACCTATGCAGATCTGTGCGAAAGTTCCAGGGTGCAAAGGGGCCTCGTTTGTGTGCGTGCGACAAACTCATGTCATACTTCGGGATTTCGGCTCTAGGCACTTCTAGTGCCGGCAGTTCACAGCCTGTGCGGCTCGCTGATTCAGGCAGGCACGTGCTACACAACATGTGATGTGGGTTTTCCTGTTGCATCCATGATGCAGGAGCAAATGAAGATTTGGTTGTGGAGCTTCGCCACGGCCGTGTGTGGCATACTCGTGGACAGGCAATCCTCGGAAGTGCATCTACAGCTTTCGGCAGCGCATTTGCCACCGTTCCCGCAGCCTCCGGTGCAGTCTGCCCTGCCAGAGCTGCCAACATTGCCACAGTCGGTTTTCGATATATCCCCACCGACGGTACGAATGATGCCAACATTGCCGCCGAATGCCTCTGAAATTCCTCCTGCAACAAAGCAAAGGGAGGCATGAGCGACCCGGCAAGATATGCAAACGCTGGACCAGTGGAGCGAAAAGGTCTGTCGTCCTGCGGAGGGTCCACTTTAAGGGCCGGCGCAAAGACGTGCTTGAGTATTCCTACGTAATGCGACCTTGGCTGTGGATTGGATTCAGTGAATGCTTGCGGACACATCAAAACAAGTGCCTTAAACATAGCTTGCAGCCTGTGCTATGACTGCAGCTGAAGCAGTGCCACTAGGCTACTCTGGGCCAACTAACTACACTCTGCAACCCTGCATGTTTTCGAGGACACTTGGCAACTACAAATATGCCCATGGACATGTATACTGCAACTGCCGATGGCTACTATGCATCAAGCACCTCCCCAATGCGATGTCCAAAGAAGTTGGGAACCGCTGAGTGACATGCGAGACGGTCTCAGTCAGTCAGTGTGTGTGTGTGTGTGCGTGTGTGTTTGTTTGTCTGTTTGTTTGTTTTGTATGTGTGTGCAGGTATGTGCATGCATGCATATGCATCGCTGGGTACATCTTTACACAAACTCCTGTTGCGCTGTTGTCTCTGTGGCTCAGAAAATGCATGAGTGTCACCACGTTATGTCAAGACTCTGGGATGGAGCACATGGTATGACATTTTAAGGTCCGTGCCTCAATCTCAAAAGAAACACGGTTGCCTGCACCGCATTTGGTTTGACTGCTGGGTATGAGGGTATAACGAAGGATTCCAGTCTAGGTTTCGGTTCGGTTGGTGCTTGCCTGCTTGCCGGGTTCTCAGATCATGACCCGCGTGGCCGGCGAGCTGACGACAAATCCGTTCAGATGCGAGCTCAGTGCAGATCCTGGACATGCAGAAGTCTTTGGCTCTTTGGCCTGAGGCTTGCCTCCTGAGCTGGAATGCTTCTGGATGCAAGAGCAACCGGCCGAAAGGTCTGACGAGCGCTTGCAGGCTCCCCTAAATTCGAGATTCACAGCTTTCAGGCTTTTCAATCTATGCTTTGCACAGGAACGCAAGTTGAAGGTGTGGGAGAAGCCTACCTGCTCATCCAGCTATGCTGCGATCTCCAAGATTGGCGACCCTGAACTTCCTATGGCGTGAGACCCTCAGGCATGAGATGGACAGCTAAAGACAGAGCAGTGTATACCTCGGCAAGTTAAGAGCATGAATGAGGCCTCTGCCTCGGGCAGCCAAAGAAATGCTCGCAGCCGCGAAGCGGAAGGTGCCCGAGTGGCCCACGTGTTTTTGCATTTTAGAGCACTACTGCTAACATCAGATGTCAGGTCATGGAAGAAGAACAGCCAGATAACACTTTCTTGACGTATGCGGCTGAAGTTTTGGTTTCGGGCCACGTCGAGTGAGCCAACCGCGGGCAGTCCTTTTTTTCAAGTCAGGACAATGGCAACGAAGCCAGCCATTGGACTTGTCGAGACCCTGCGCAAGAGTCGGGGCGGCAGTCGTTTGGACCGTGTCGGCTTTTTTCTTAAGTTTGCTTGAGTTTTAACTTAGAATTCCATGTACGTGAGATCACCTTCCCATGCAGGTGAGAAAGATGTCAGGACCTATGTGCAGAAGAAGCGTGAGGTTTTCCTCGTGCACATGGCGTGCGACAACAAGAGGGAGGAGATTGTTTGAATCTGAGTTCATGTTGCGCTGGCTTCGGATCCCATGCACCATGCAGCTGTCCATGTATGTAACCCAAGCAGCCCGAGGTGCGTTTGGATGCCATGGCAAAGGCGAAGGAAGATGCTTTGACAATTCCCCAGCAAATTCTGGACGAGGACACCAAGAAATTCGAAGAGTACCTCCAGGATCTGCTGGAAGTTAGTTGAGTGTACATGGTATTCAACAATGAGAAGGCTTGCTGAGAGCTTGAGCTGCAGGAAAGAATCGCCAAAGCTTCCTCCTCTACGAAAGATAGCGAAATGCATGCAAAGGTCAAGCAGGACAAACTTGGGAGAATCAAAAGCCTGAAGCAACAGATCGCTACCGTACAAAGCGAGACGAGCAAGCTGAAGGAGGCCCGGAGGGACATGAAGACTTGCAAGTCCCCCTTGTCTAAGCCCTGCATAGGTGAGGGTGGAGTGCGAAAAGTACAAGATGTTCTTGGAGAAGATTACTCCGCCAGAATGGAAAGAGGAGCAGCTCCGGCCCCAGCTTCGAAGGAAAAAGCACTTTACTAGGGCACAATTGACTGTTCTGCCTTTTTGTGAGGAAGCGGAAGAAAGAGCAAAGGAAGAAAGAACGAGCGGAAAGGCGCTTCCTTGCCTCCAGCCGCATGGGAGGTACACGTAATCTCCAGCTTTCCGTCGAGGTGGAAGAAGGAGCGCCTGGCCCCCTTCATGGAATATCTCGCGCATGAAGAACAGAAACTCTTCGAAAAGTTTGCCCAGGAGGATGCTGAGGCCGCCGTTTTAATCGCGCAGGGCACATCGAACAGAAATGTCGGGAGGACGCGCGCCTAAGCGGAGGTAGTAAGCAGTAGCGGGACGGGGGCTTGCTGGTGCCTGTGCTTACGTTGGAATTGTCAACCTGACTTCGTGCTTGCAGATGCTAAAGCAAGATATGAGGTGAAACGCACGGGTTGCGGTGACTACCTCGTACACACGACGAGGGACAGAGATTCCCCGGCTGCGAGATAAAATGAGCTTTTCCTCGAGCCTGAACGAGCAAACAGGGTTTCAAACAACAACAAAGGAACGCTGCAGAACATGCTTCCGAAGTTCAGCAAAGAGATACACGTTCTCAAGAGCCGTCGCAGATCGCGAAGCACGCCTGCGAAATCCACTTGCTGTCTTGTTTGCCACTCCAACCTGTGTTTCGTTCAAGGTCCAGCCTGTTTGGCTCCTTCCGGTTTCGAACCCCTTCTCTCGGCCTTCCCGTTGTCTGATCTCTTGTGTGGATCGGACTGACGTCCTTTGCTCACGACCTCGAACGCTGTGATTGGATAACGCCTGTGTTGGAACAGGACCCTACTTTTCGTGCGAAGCCTGTGAGAGCGGATCGCTTTTGAATAGCACTCATTCCTTACCAAATGTGGTTTGGCTCGGCTCCGTGCAGCTCTTAGGTTTTCGCCGAATCATATATCACTTTGTCGAGTGATTTAGCGGGGTTTGCAGACACCAGCTGAAGCATAAAGCAGCAAGCAGAGCAGGCGGCTGCGTCTGCAGCGTCTGGATGTCTTTCAATGTGTGAGGTCGAAGCTTCAAAGAAGCGCGGCAGGAAGCAGCGACGAAGAGAAGATGAGGCCGAAGCTTCGAACTTGAATCTGACGCGGCGGTAGAGAGGCCCAGGGGGCCACGGAGCCTCGGGCCTCCGGTCCCCAGACCCTTCACAAGCAAGAAAGCTTGCGAGAGGGAGGGGAAACTGGGAAACTTCAATTCCGTTTTTCGCCCAGGAGGAGTTGCAGCAGCGGCAGCGAGAGAGGGACAGTCGCCGCAAGCGCCTCCAAAAACGGAGAGAGGCAAGGAAGTGCTTCAGCATGTAGTGAATTGGGATGACGTTCTTTGCTGACTGAAAAGGAGGAAGAGAGGAAAGTCGATGCGGAGTGCTAGACTCAGCTGCCGACGAATAGATTCAGCTACACAAAGCGGTTAGAAGGTTTGCAAATCGTGGTCGGATTGGGATGATGCAGACAGCTCCGGCCAGGTACGTTGCTGTCTCTTCAGAGGAAGAGCCTGAGCTCTTCTTCAAGGAGGGGCCCGAAACCTGACACTGCTCAGCAGCTTCCCCGACATGCAAGCAGGGGTCGGCTGCAGGAGCCCCAACAACTCATGGACAGTTTCACAGATCTGGAAGAGCTGAATCTCTTCCTCATCCAGAGCTCTCAGGCCGGCACCAAAAGGGCTTTTTGGTGTTCGGAAGAAGCCTGGGTGATGAAGGAAGCCGAGCAGCAGCTGGACGAGATTCGGAATAGCTTTGAAGCCATGAAGAAGGACATGGGCCACAAGGCTTCTTGCACTGGCACGTCAATGTGCTATGGCACATGCGGATTGCAGAGCTCAACGCGCACAGATGGTCAGCAGGTATTCCTTCGCAAGCAGGTGTTTCAAACGGCGCTGACTTGATGGCAAGTTGACAGACTCCACGACCACTTGCCGAATGCCTCTGTATGCTGCTGGTGCGCAGTCTCTCGCCTCAGCGCGTAGTATCAGATTCCCAATAAGGTTGAATATAACGTAATCATGCACTCTGCAGCAGTCGCTGCCTTCCGATGGGAAAATCCATTCATTGCTGGCCCGCGCTAGTTCACAAGTTGATTTTTCTCGATGTTGGAGCACTCCAGCATGAGGATTTGCGGTGCCTTCCTGGATGAAGCTTGCAGGTGCAGCAGCTGAAGGATCAAATAAAGCAGTTGGATCAAAGTATCAAGCAGGCCCGACACCGGTGTACAACATGTTCAAGGGTTTATGTCTTGACGAGAAACGAGCCAGCGCATTGCTGCGAGGAGCAGCGCAGGGGTGAAGAGATAAAGCAACGCCATGCGGAGAAAGCGAGCACCGCAACACAGGAGCCTTTCAAGTTGCACGGCTTCGGAATTTCTGGAACAATCCAATCTAGGGTTTCTGTTGCTGCTGTTTTCCTCACGCCCACCAGCTTCTGTCCAGGACAAGAAATTGAGTAGCTTGGCAAAGAAGGCAACTGCCGCAGTCAGTCGTGGTGGGCAGCTGGCATGCTTTTTGCATCTCACGTTGTGCGCACCGTGCCTGGTAGGTGCATGAGGTGTACGCTCGGTGCAATCTGGCAAGAGACCAGCAGCAGTCAGATACGCTGCAGATGCTTGGGGCCATCGAATCGCGGATTGAGGAGTTAATTCAAGGTCTTGACGAGGCTTATCAGCAGGACTCCGCTGTCGCATGTGCCCTTGTCAGGTGATTGCATTGTGTGACCATCAGTGCAATTGATCATGAGCTTGCGATGAAGGATGAAGAGCTGGTAATGCGACTGGAGAAGATCAAAGAGAGCGATCGGCGTGAGCGAGCTTTAGGCTTAGCTCAACTCAGCCTCTTTGTCCAAACTGTTTGCACTTGGTGGTGGTGCTGTTGCTGCGAGAAGCCAAGGTGCGCGAGAGCCGACTGAAGGAACAACCGGAAAAGCAAGAGTTCCGATTGAAGCAATCGCTGCAACGCGCGCAGAAGCCAATCTTCAAGAAGGCTTGATTCTGAGACTCCTTTGGTGCTGTGAGCTAGCGCTGGCTTCAAAGACAAACCGTCCTTTTGCATGCCATTGCTGAGGCCGGCAAGCAGCTCATGTACCGGTCGCCACCTCTACGTCAGGAGCACAAAGTAGTGGAAGACAATTCTGATGATGAAGCACATACCAGAGACCACGAGGCTGCCACAGATCTTGTTGCATTAGGTGTGAGCATATGTGGTGCAGCTCGGACGAGGTTTTCGACATCTACATCGACAGAAAGACAGGCGTACCGCATACAACTGCGCCATCGGAAGAAACGAGGCGGGCGCTGAGGCTCTGCAAGATTGGCTCCTTCTCGAGAAGAGCTGCTTCGGCCCCGCCAGTGGAGCCCTTGCGCCAGGCCTGCAAGCGCCTCGCATCGAGTCAGGACAACGTCTCACCAAAAGACACCGCGAGACGCGGCCGCTCCAAAAAGCGCGCGGCTGCCCAGCAACAGAGTGGTGGAAAAAGTCGGCTCATCGCTTGCCTCTCCACGGCACAGCACATCAGAGCACGTTCCACTTAACCAATCTTGGCCACTGCGGCATGTGGAGCTGAACTGAGCTTGTCGCGCTGGCTGCTGTGAGCCTCAGACACTCCAGGCTTGCAAAGGCATGCCCTGGATGAAAAGATGAAATTGACACTAGCTTTGCTTGCGGTGGCCTGGCCCACTGCTGCGTTGCAGCCCAAGTTTCACATCGTCGGTTTTCTGTTGTCTTTGACCGCCAGCACCTAAGGCAGAGCCCCTTCGGCAACGGGCAAAGGTTTGCACCGGGCAATGTCGGGGCAACCGGGGCCTTCGGCCAAATTCCTGGATGAAGCCTCAGCTTCCAACTTCGTGGAGACTGCGATGGCTTGCGTGATGCATCATGAATTATAACGTGGCAGTTCCCCGTCGAAAGGCGTTTCTGCGCCCGGACTGCTGACTACCTTGGGCAGGCGTATGGACAACTGCAGAGCACGGTGAAAAGACATTTCATGATCCGACTCCAGGCAGCCTGGTTCTGTCGATTCAAGCCAAGGCCGCAGTCGGGCAGTGGGATGTTCCGCTTTCGGCTCGCCGCTTGCGCGAGGCTTTGCAAGACCATTGGCTGGTGAGCCCTTTCAGCAACCGGTCTTTGCGCAAATGGTGGATCCCACCAGGTCAACACCCAACACGAAGGACTGGCCACAAAACGTGGCCTATGGATCTTATGGTCACGCTTCTGCAGGGCTGCCACTCAATGGGCCAAATACAAATTGGCAAGTGAACCAGAGGGCGCCAGAGCATGGCCAACATGCGCAAGGCCAGCTTGGTTTTGCGAAAACTGTCCGGGTACAAACAGTGACATCATGTTGGTCACCTCTCATGCAGCTCGTCTGGATAGGCAGCGGCGGCGAGGGCATGCAGGTGTTCCATGTGGCGGTTCAGCTCATGCAGAAGGCCCTCGGGGAATGCAGGAAAACGTGTTCGAAAGCATTTGTTGATGATGGCAGGGGCAGTTGATGGAAGCCAAGAAGGCATTGACTGCTGCAGTGCATGTGCTTGCCAGGCTGTCTCGCTTGTGCATCAAGTCCGGGGGGATATCTTGACGCCTAAACGCATGCTGTCAGGCCGGGTTCGTGAATTTTGGCCGTCTTGATTTGTATGTGTCTGTGATTCTAGTTTTCCACAAATCTGAAATCATACTAACGGCAACCGCTGGCTGGCGAGCCAGAGGCTTTGTTTTCGGGTTGCTGAGAGTGCCATGGGACGTTGCTGCGCTTCTGTCGATCATGATACCGGCTACCGCTCCACATTCGCCAGGGCACGTCACGGGATATTCTGCCTGTTGCCGCGGAGCTTCGACATCGTATGGGCTTGCCAGAGGCAAGGCTAGTTTGGTTGGTAACAGCAAAACTCTCAGGCTTCCTGCACATTGGCTGTTGACGTGCTACCCGGCAGGTATCGGCAGAGCAAGTGGAGGTGGGACGTGACAGAGCACTTTTCGGCCTTGCCCTCTTACCACGTCTCGCTAAGCAGGTCTGGTTGGAATGGAGGACTGAAGACGGGTCCATCGTTGGATGGAAGGCGGGGGCAGCAACAGCTCATCGTGATTTTGGCCCTGATTGTGTGTGCTTCGCGCTCGTGGTCTGCTGGCTGAGACTTGATCGACAAGTCGCACAGTGAAGGTGCTTCTGGTCCTTGGCGGACTTGTACCCGTTCTCTTTCTCCTGTACTGGGACAGAGCACAGAAAGGCCCACGAGCAGCTGCCCCTGTCAGTCCAACAGTTAGGGCCAGCGGCTCGTGACTTTGATGCCGTGCTGCCGGAGGCATCTGGAGGATTCTTCTACGAAGCGGACTTTCCCGGACGGGTCAGACCGAGCCGGAGCCAGAGCAGAGAAGACCCGAAGTTCTCGAGCCGAGGCAGGTGCTAAGAAGGGCACCACTGCCCTGCTACTCAGATGCCCGTCGGAACCCACTGTAGCAGGTTCATTCCAGCCGATGCTTCCATCGGTGACGATGCTGGGCAGCTGAACAAGATCGACAGACACGAGCAGACGGATGCTCATGCTGTTCCAAGTGACAGCCAGCCTATCCTGGCAGGGCCTAAAGAGGAAGCCAGCCAGAATGCAATTTTCGACAGAGTTTCGAATGACTTGAGAGAGCCCGAGGCAGAGGAGCATGTGGAACAGTACAGCAAGGCAGATTGCGAGGATGTCGCTACGGAAACCCTGCATGAAGGTGACCATACGGAACTTAGACTTAGACCGTTCGTGAAGGAAGAATTGGAAGAGGAGCCCGCTTCACCTGGAGTTGGAAGCAATATCATCGAAAGCAACGGGGACGAGTCAGACGAACCACCGGCAACCAGAACTGTGCAAAAGGATGGACCCGCGGAAGAGCCAGGATCTTGGAACTCTTGAGTTAGCTCATCAAGCTCAAGGGCTTCACTTTGCTAGAATCTGCTAGAAGCCCTTACATCCTGAGGTTTCTCAGCGACGGACAGCAGCCATCCGCGGTAGTTTCAGCAGAGCCCCAAGAGAATTGGATGTGTCTTTCGGAGTTGATTTAGCACCCGGTCCTAGAGATCAGCTCAGGGTTTTACTATCCCATCCCCCTTCCACCAGCTCAGCAAACACGACTTGTCTAAGTGCTCAGTGGCAAAGCATCATTTAAGCAGACTGGTGGATCTGTCGCGGGTTTGGGCAGCTTTGATGTGAAGACTCGTGGCAAGGGAGGGATGCCAGAAAACTGAGGGAGTGCATGCAACCTGTGTCACTCGCTCGCCCTGGTTCTATGGTTCTATTTCATTCGGCTTAGGCTCGACCAATTCGATTGAGTGCGCATGCTTGCATCAGCATCAGCCTGCAGTGACAGTTTCCTCACCACGGGCATTGCAAGATATGCCGAGCAGCAGCACGAGTCCTGAAACAACCGTCCAGCGGTCGCCGAGGTCGATGGCGCGGATTTGGACAGCAGCACCTTGCAAGCCTCTCAAAGGGACGAAGCAGGTGCTCAACTCAGTTGTTTTCACGGTCCAACGCACGAAGACCAAGAGCACTGGTTCCCTGCCTCAAGGTGAGAGACGAAATCTGGAAGCGCTCCCAGATTCCCAACATGCGCAGCCACAAAAGTTACAGAAGGCCAAGCGTCAGGTATGGAGATCCAGGGCAAAGAAGGCAGGGATTGGTAAGCAAGCTGTCAGACGCGCAGAATCAGACGCATCGGACTCGCGCAGCTCAACCCCAACGAGCGGAAGAGGTTGCACCGGTCATGGGCTCATAGACAGAAAGACATTGCATGTACCCATGCTCGTTCCCGATTCTCAATGCTCATCACTGCGCAGCGCTTCTACCATTGTTGACGCGGTTGAGATTCCCATATATACAAGCATCTCAAAACTAAATCTATTACTATTGAAATGATTAAGTACTATTGCTACTCGTAGTCCTATGCCTGTTCCTATTCCTACTGCTGCTACCACTGCCAGTATTACAACTGCTACTACTGCCGCTGCCGCTGCTACTGCTCCTGCTCCGGCTCCTGCTGCTGTTGCTGCAGCTGCTACTGCTACGTCATCAGGCAGCATCTGGACGATGCAAATATCATCCATCCACCATACTTCTGTCACGGAAGCTGCTACCTACTTGTTCTCTCTTTCGCAGCACAACGAGTCCGTTTGCGTCCCGATCGGCAGCGCTTCGCGCCAGGGTCTTTGCGTCATGCCTCCTGCATGGAGTCCGGAAGATTGCTTCGGCACTGACATTGCAAGCAAGCTAGTAAAGAAAGGACGTCAAGTATGCACCATAGATCGCGCCCCCATTCTAGACTCGACGGAGCGCAATGAAGCCTAGCCCTCAAAATGAGGCAGATGTCGTGAGGCAGTAGCCTGTCGATCATGGTGTTTGTCCCTGCTCCGCAGCAGACCAGCAGACACTTGCAAAGCTTCTGCTAACAACGGAAACGGCCGGAAGAACCACCAAGCTGAGACCTCATCGGTAAGAGCTCCATTGCTCCATAAGCTAACGGCAAAACCCAGGGCCGCGAACAAAGCATTCGACATCTGTAGCTGCCTGGGAAAACACGCTCCAGCTTGCGACACGGATAGCTATTTCCGAAATTTGGTGCCGCGATTGTCTTCACCCAACAGCCCCGGCGCAGCCCCGGCACTACCATCGTAGCCTCAGCATGTCATGCAGGCCGAAGATGACGGCCTTGTCGAAGCTGGCATGCTTGTTGACGTCGTGGAACCTGCGAAGCCTGCCATTGCCGCAGTGGGTCATGCGGCGGACGAGCAGAAGGAGATGGTCACGACAGGGAAAAGAGAGCGCAGTAATGCAGCCTCTAAGCTGCCACCCAAAGCTGAAGACTGGGGCTGGGGAGCTGGCCATCCACAGGTGTGCTGTCAGCGAGACTTCTCAGCATGTTTCACAACATCTACAGTCCTTTTCTGTGCAGGCCGCAAGTGATGGCTGTATCTATTTCGCTGGTGGTCCACCTCCGGGCCGCCAGATCCAGCCAACAGCGCAAGCTCCTGCCAAAACAGGACGTCGATGGCAAGCTGGAGGCGCGGAAAAGCAGCGCAGGCAGACCCTGGTTGGTTGGATCCAGATGCCCAGGGCGCACCTCCTCAGTGCCAGACACCTCGTTGGAGGAAGAATTGTACGGTACTTAGAACGGGCGGACAGTACGACCGCATCATGGCACAGGTGTGAGCATTGAGCATGACAGTCCCTGATGTCAAACTTCAGAATGGCTGAGTGGCAGGCTCGAGCTTGACATCAAGCTGGAGCAGGAAGTCGCTAAATCTGCCGACATCCAAGCCACCCCAGTGCAACATGATGCTGCTGGCGCAGGACGGCAACTTCTTCCTTGCCAAGCCCACGCGCTTCCGACCGCAGGGGTGCTTCCTGCGGCTTCAAGGCCGCATTCTATCGAATCGTTCGATGCAGTCGCTTGTGCGGCTCAATGACATCTGAGATCAGCCGGATGAAAGGCGGTCAAGAAGCTTTTTTGCCTGTGGAGCACATCACGCCTCATGCCGATGCTTCAACCAACGGTGTTAGAAGCATCGTGTGCACCTCAGTCACTATGTCTCAACAAGGGTTGGGCAATGGCCATGAAGTGCAGTGCTTGTCAAGCACGTCGGGAGATCCTGTCCAGGTCACTCAATCGTCCAAAGGCGGACGCCTACGTGTTCGGGAAATCGGTGCCGGCCGTGTTTCCATGCTAACACCAAACGAAGAGGCGCTGAGATGCAAGGCCCGTGGGGGAGTGGTGTAAGCCAGGCAGCAGGTCATCTCCGAACCGAAGCTTCAGGAGAGAAACGCGCTCGTGCAGTCCTCAATTCTGAAAAATGCGACTACGCAGCATAGCCAGCATAGCTGTAACACGAATTTTCGTCTTGTGTGGTACGCGGAAGGCTGGTGTTGAGGCGTTTGATTCCTGCCTGAGTGGAGCCCAACTGCTTTCCTGGAGTCGTCTTCTTCTTGGGAACTCTCATGTCTCAACACAGCATTTTTTCGACCCGGCACTTAAGACAGCATTGACCTTTCCATGAGGAATTGTGTCTGCAGCTGCGCGGGGTTAACCTCCGTTACAGTGTGCACAGCATCAAGAAGCCGGCACGTCCCTTGTTGTTGACAGTTGTTACCTAGCGAACCGTGCAGATCAGCCGTGAATCGCTCTGTAAGAGCGTACCGAATCTGCCATGCGTTGTACATACACTAGATGCGCGCTGTGATATGTAAGATGGTTAGTTGCTTTTGCTTTGCCTGAGTCAACTAAGGCCTACCCGGAACTAGGGAAGCTAGTTAGGCCTCTGTCGAGCTGCATTCGTACGGATGGTCGCCAAGTCCTGCCTACGTCGAGTCCGGGCGCTAGAGAAAAGCTTGTACATCTGTGATCTTGTGTATACAGAAGAGTAAGTAAGTCAGCAAAGAGAAGATAGTAAGTAAGTCAGTGCGTGGGTAACCAAGTGAGTAGATGAGCAAGTATGTATGTGTGCGTGCGTGTGTGTGTGTGTGTGTGTGCGCGCACGTCTGTTAGCCTTAGATGCCAGCAGGAGTTCCCACCTATTGTTGCTCGAATCTGTGTGTTCTTCGCATCGGTTGATTTGCAACGAGCTTTTTGTTGCACAAGTTGAGATTTGCTTATAGAAAGCCATAGATGTCGGTGTTTCGGATGTGATGTGCCAGTCAGCCAGTCTCTTTGCTGTTGGTCTAGCAAATGGGAGCTTCGGAAGACGAGGGACCGCCCAACATAGGCGGTGACATTGGTGTCCCGAAGTGGACAGCAAAAACGGGACCTCAATTCTCTCAACGCAACCGACTGGCGTGTAAGATGCTGCAGGAGTTGGAAGCAAGACGTCGGAACATGGAGGAAAAGATTGAGCAGCTGCCGCAAGCTTAAGCATGACGCCCCTGTCCGGTTTAGCCAGCACGCAAACTTGTTTTTTGTTTTGTATCCGTTTGTTGTTCAGAGGCGGGAGAGCTACAATCCTGCGAAATGGATCATCGGCTTCGTTTCTGCAGTGCAGCCCAATGCGGTCTATGTCAGCGTTATAGATGGGCAGGAGCTCCAAAGTTGCAGATGTTGCGTCACCGAGTGCCTCTCGCTGAATCGGGTTCGTGGCTACCTCCGAGCGTCGAGCGTGAGATGCGTTCTCCTCAGTTCTGCCGCTGTCTCGTTTGGGCTAAGTACGGCCTACGGCCTTTGTTGCGGAGGGTTCGGGGAACTCTGTTTCTATGAATCACACTCCGTTCTCCCCCTTTCGAAAAACAATCCGAGCCTCTCGTTGTAGTGGCTCCCTGTCTCTTTTTCTCTCACCCTTCTTGTCCGTTCCATGTCTCTGCTTGGCACTGTGTTGCGTGTTGTTGTTTTTGTCACTGTTTTTTGTCGACAGGATGCCAGGATACCTCTGAAGGACCTGCCAGAGAAGTTCTTGATGCCGGCGGAGGCAACTTGGCCACTGTATAGACTGGAGTCTAGAGTTGCTAGTGTTGTCGATGAATCAGAAACTGCAGCCGAAGTTGCTTCTTTCTGTCAGGATGGCTCTGGCGAAGCCAAACCAATCCTCGAGATTGGCCAGGTGCGCACTTGGCTAAACCGGCGAAAAATGCAACATATTGGCAGAAGAGGCTGTGCAATTCCGGCTTGTTCGCTACTCGTGGGGATCCGAACCTTGACTATGAGTGTGTGCGGACCTGCGTGTTGTGTGTCCACACGCTTCCAATTTCGCATCGAAGGAAAGTTTCGCGGCATCCATGTTGCCTGTGGCGGAAAGACAGCAGAGGCAGCTCGATTTCAGCTCTTCGAGTTGGGACACTTGGACAGCCGGAAGGACTCGCGAAAGAGATCGCCCAACGGAGCTCGAAGCTGAAAGGCCACGGTGCTCGGATTCAACGTCGTGTCGGGGCCAGCCCGGGTCTCCAGCATCCTGGTCCACTCGGAGTCAGGCCTCCATCGCCAGATCGTTCAGAAGGAGCCAAAGCATGGGCGGCCAAGGTGAGTGCATGTTGTTTGGCTTGTCGGATCCGAGCTGCGATCTTCGAATCAGGGGTACAGCGTGGTGACGCATGAAGCTGCAGTGGAGCTGAATGGCTGGATTCGCTCCAGTATTGAGGCTGTCAGTTTTCATTGAATACCAGGACACCCCGGAAAGGTTTTATTGGTGTGTGAAGCTGCAGGAGAAGAAGTCGACGAAGGGCTCGAAGGCACTGGTCAAGGTACCTGACGGAGCAGAAACTGTGCCTTGGCCGTCATGTTCGCCGTTTTCCTTGGCCCTGGTCGCAGACCAGCAACAAGACTTACCTGGTCAGCGTTGTCCGTGGCATGAATACGAAGGCAGAACTGCAACCTTGGCTTGCATGTTCTTCACCATCATGGCCGCAAAGAGTTCTTGCGCGGAAATCGGTTGTGATGCGCTCGCTTCGGTACCAGGCTGTTGGCAGCATCGATGTGGAGAAAAATGTTTCGGATAAGGAGGCGCGGCCTGTCGTGCTTCTGCCAGTGTGCTTTTTGGCTTTGGGGCAGGTTAAGCAAGCCGCCGTGGACCTGCTCTTCAAGCAGAGCCTCTTGAAGGTCGCGCCAAACCTCATAACTCATAACCAAGCTGAACTGAGCTTTCTCTTGCGGCTTGTTGCATCGGTGAGCCAGCTTGTCCTCTTTTGTTGTGTCAGGCCGGGGAACAGCACAAAGGCATTGTCATCGCAAAGAACATCATCAGCATCAAATTGTGAGATGCAAGCTGCGGGAACGGTTGGTGGCTGTGTTTGTACATAATAGAGCAGCTCGCAGAACACTTGCGGAGCACTGCACAGTCCAGCCGAACAATAGTTCAAAACCTGCATCCCGCCACAAGTTCCTCCATCCCTTTGAGACATTCGGGATTGCATTACGATCTCGCACCTTCAGGCTTAATCTTGACATGTCGGATTCTGGTTTATTAATGCCTTTTTTCTGAGTCTTTCTTTTCAATGTCATATTCATACACATATCATAACAAAAGCTAAACGTTTATTTTTTAAAGATAGAAAGGGAAATTTCCATTTCGATATCGCCGTTTGTTTATACTCATTCTCAATCATATCATGTACAGTTTCTTAGAAAGATATGGAAAGACTTTTGGATATTAGTCGACCTTCTTCCAAAGATAGTGAATATTTCTCGGTGGAATTTCGAATTTGATTATGATAGGTTTCATTTTGAAGGAAACCTGTGTAACATAATATCTTAAGAGCATACCTTTAACAAAATCATGGGTCTTCTGTACTTGAAAATGAACAGAAATACTGATTAGATGAACGAAAACAAAGAAAAGAAACCATATTTTAGTTATGAGAGTTGAAAGTTGGAATCACATGTACTCCTTCTATAATCTTGCTTGGAGGTTCGGTGAAGAATGCCTCGCAAGATGCGGCAGTGATGATTTCCGGCAAGATAGCTTTGTACCGTTGTGCATTAGCAGCTTGCGATCAAAAGCTGCGAGAATCTGATCTTCAACGTGACATCACGTCAAGTCGGTGCGAGGTCCTTCTGCTGTAATTCCTGGCAGAGATGTCAAATTTGTTCCCAAGGCTAGTCGGACCAGCGGCGGCCTCTGTGTCGGTCTTCAGCGACTAGCGAGGTCGGACAGATGCCCTGCCCCTTCCACTTCGGTTCGAGTCTTTACCGTTGCCAGGCGCCAGCTTGCAGCCCTGCACAGTCATGGTTGAAGGATTTCCTGTGAACATGTTCCAAGCGGGGGGCAGAGGGAAACTTTCAGGCGCATTCAGGTCGTGAGGTCTTTGATAAAGCACCATTAGGGAAGCCCGATTGGCGAGGACTGCAACAGCAAGACTTGAGCCTGTCGTTCTGGCAGCGGTAGCTACGATGTCGTAAACCTTGACCCTTATGTGAATCCCAGAAGCCCTTCAAACGTACCCTCCCCCCAGAAGCAGTTCATGGTATGTAGACCTCAAACACAAGCCTGCAAGCCGAACCGCTGCTGTCTGGGCTGATGATACAGTTCTCCAGGTCTCACTCGTAGGAGTTTGGTTTCAGGTTTGTGCTTACCAGCGCGAGCTATTGCGATTCGAGCTCATGGCCTGCTGTGGCTCCCGCACGTCTCCCACACCCTTGGAGCTCTATGCACAATCCCTGCCACATGAAGCAGAAGCTGCTGGGCATCAACACCAGAAGAAGTAGCGGTGGGTGGCGGCAGGCGGAGGAGTAGTGGTAGTCGTCCTCGTAGTGGTGGTAGTGGTAGGACGACTTCCTTGGGGTTGCGTAGCTGATGCCAGTGTCTTCGCATATTCGTTATTCCGAAGCCCACACATCATGGATCATCATGGTTTTTGGCGTTTGGAAGGGTTCGTCCGACAGCACTGTACTAGGGGTTACGGTAGCTCTAAATCCATATAAGATCAGTCTTTCTGGAATGTTGCGCACCCCCAGACATGCGAACATGTTTGCATTGTCTGCAATTGGGAAGAGGTCAGGAGGTGCATTGGGGGCGTGGCATTCCAAAGCCACAGAATTTCCAGTTTTCTTGGCTTTTGCGTGTTTGCTTTGGTGGGGACGGTGGAACATCGCTGCACGATGGGGAGAAAGGAGCTGCCAGAGCCGTAGCCTTCGCGGCAGAAGCGGTAGGCGACAGAGTCGACACGTACGATTTTCAAGGAAGTCTCTGCGTGAGGCTCTTCTGGGAAAGGTGCGATCGACGGCTTGCAGGGCAGCAATGGGCAGCATGCAAGCCGTTTGAGCAAATTCGTGCAGGGGAGAACACAGCAGTAATCAAATGCATGTCATATCAGCTATGCATATGCTATGCCAAGCACCAAGCAGCCTGTTGAGGCTCCTCCAATGCTCTTCCCCATGTATACCGTGACCACAAACGTGCTCCTCCAGATGACAAGCGTCGAGCCGCACGAGAAGTTGAAGGCCAAAGCAAGCAGTGGTGTGAATGGTTAGTGCTGATTTACGGGTATAGCAGAGGTTGCAGTGTAAGCAGAATGCGACAGAGTTGCCTTTTGGATGTAATTCTGGCGGCATGGGTGACACTGCAGTATACAATGGACAACAAGAGAGTGACATGAAATGGAACATGAAGGACCGTCGTGTAAATGGGTTCAAAACGGGTGCCCGGACGGCACAATGGTTTCTGATTACTGGTTGTTAGGCTTATTGTCCATTACTCTGTCAAGGCATCGATTCCCGTATCCATTTGGCTGTTCAAATTCTGCCTCGCGAATCCCGTAGAACCTAACTGCTAAAATACTACGCCCGTCCTCCTTGAACGTTGCAAGGTGGCAATCTTTCAACCCTGTAGCCTCCTCAAGCAGCCAAAAGACGAGATCGGGCCATTGTAGGCATCAAAGTGGTATATTGTATTGGGATTTGACTATGTCCAACTGTGGAAATGATTTGGTCCAGGTAGGACGGATTGCGCACAGGACGTAAGGTCAAGGTCCGTGGGGGGATTGCAGTTTGACGGAGAGCCACGTCGAGCACGCAGCATTGGGATGTTCAAATCTGTTGGGACCTTCTTAGAAAGCCATTGCTCCCGCCCCAAGTGCTTTGCTTGATTTCACGGGGTGAAGGGATGCCCTCAGAGCACCAAGATGCCCCACGTGTTGGTTTCGGACACTACCGCAGCGCACACCTCAGTCTTCTGCCGGTAGTTTTGTTTTTTCCACTCCTTCTAAATCCAGTACCGCTGCTACTAGTCTCCATTTCACTGTCCACTTCATTGTCTTTTGTGACTTGCAATTGTTACCTGCGCGCCCCATGCTCTGAAGGCGCGGGGCGAGCTGTGCATCTTCAGTCACAGCATGGGCAAGGCAGCTTTTGTTTCGCACCAGTGGGTTGCCACGCACCATCCAGATCCGGACTTCAAGCAGATGAAGGTCTTGCAAGATGCCGCTTGATCGCAGGGAGTCCAGTGCCACGATGCATGCGCGCTTACCGCAGAAAGAGTAGGAAGAGTTACCCTACCAGCTGTAGTAGCTAGTATTATTCTTGCGAAAAAAAAGTTGCTAAATCTTCAGCAGCTCTGCGTGCTCCTGGACTGCCCAGGTTGTCAAGAGGCTGCTGAGCAGCGAAGGGTCCATTTCAGTGGACATCACCACCGAATCCCTAGTGCGAACGGCCAAACCGCTCCGCATGCAGGAGTTCCAGGCGCGGATGGAACAAAAAACAGAAACTGAAGGGGTCGAAGAGGGGTGATGAAGGGACTAGGCCAACCAAATACACGTTTTTGTTGCTTTTTTGCATTCTTTATCATGGGACATCCCGTTCTCAGGCGCAGGCACTATTCTTTTGGTACGATTATTTTTCGTGCCCACAGCTGGAGCGCCGGCACGGTTTCGGTGCAGATGACGAGGATGGTAGCAAGCAGGCCCATGCCATCAATAGCATCCCCGCCTATGTCACCAACTGCCATTTTTTTCTGGCCCTGTGCCCAGTGATCGATTGCTTTGAAGAGAACAAGGTGCTCTCGCCGCTCACGTGGAGCCGAAGGGGTTGGTGTCGCGTGGAAAGAATCGGTCGTGAGCTGTCGCAAGAAAGTACCTGGATTCTGATCCAGAGCAGTACCTTCATGGAAGTTGTTGGCACGCTTAATTCCTTTCCGGCTGGAATGGTCGGGGAGGGCAATTTCACAGTCCAGGAGGATAAGAAGAAATTAGGCCCTGTGATGCGGCAGATGATTGTCCACAAAACTGCAGCAGTCGCTGCGATCTGGCGACCTGCCTGGATTCCGGCGCTACTTCAATCTAAACGGCGTCTACCTGCGTGAGCTTCAGGTCGAGTCTGTGGGCGGCTTCCTTCCCAGCTGCGACAGCCGAGCGGGTACCGCAGTGGCGGAGTTCCTCCATCAAAACGGCTTCAGGAGAATTGGAGAGGTCGACAGCGCGGGGTGGCGGCCACTGCACTATGCGGCACTGGGCGGGAACGTGGAAGTTCTGAAGGGCATGCTGGAGCAGCGTGCCAATGTGAACTGGCGTGCCTGCCATGGGCAACCCACCCTGGATGTCGGCACTGGATATTGCATCGGGTGCGAGGCACTACCAGGCTGCACGGTTGCTTATCGAAGCAAGGGCACATCTTGAAGGTGGGCTCCTGCCTTCCCTCATGTGTGCCACCTTCCCCAACGATGCGGAGATTATCCGACTGCTCTGCGACGCAGGTGGCAATCCGCTGCACCGGAACCTTATTGGGAACACCGCCTACCTGGCTGCAGCGGGTCGTTGGGTGCAAGGAGTACAAACAAACACACACACACACACATATATATATATATATATGTGTGTGTAGACATATATAGAGCCGTTAATGGGACCCCTGGTGCAGACTGTTACAGAGTGGCGGCAGTACCCAATCCATATAAATGAAAGACCAAAGGCGCAGAAACAGAAGGGCCTCACCCGACTTCACCCCAAACAGTGGGGTTTTGTTTGGTCAGGCGTTTGGCGTTCCCGGGCCCCCCAATGGTACGGTCTGGTAGGGGCAGGGGGGGGGGTGTTGTGTGCGGAGAGGGGCGGGGGGCCGTTGCTGCTGGATGGTGGGGCGGTGCTGGGGGGCGGCCAGGGGTCACACGCAAGCCATCAACCCTATAATGGAGCGGTGCACGTGCTGCTGTCTTTATCAACCTTGACCTGCGCATAAGACCTTACACGCAACCCTAAACCCCACCAAAATGCAGGCTCCAAGCCTAAAGCAGAACACAAACCGGCAACCCTGACGAACCTTCACCCCAAAT